GCGGGTAGGAACTCCTCTAGATAGTCCTATCAGGGAAAGTGAATCAATCCCTGCCCTCCGCAGATTCCAGGTGTTTCCTGACCCGGAAAACTAGAACCTGCTTAGGATCCCTTATCCAGGACTACGGATGAAGTCTACAAAGGCAGCCACGGCGAAGAAGAAATCCTTAGGTACAGTGTGGATGGTGGAAGTGACAATCCCTTGATTTTATGGATTATACAGAATCACTATACGTAATGAAGGACAGCAGCGATTATCAGTACCAGCTCAAGGCGCAGAGGAAATAATCCTGTATCGGACTCTCACAAGCATAACTGAAGTAGTTTAAATGGTTCTAATACTGCGATGGGAGAGGTAGCGGGAAATCACCCCATTATTATTCCCTAGTTTAATCATAATGGCACTATCATATGATAAGAAAAGGTAAACTGATCATGGTCCTCGGACACCACCAAGATCCGGTAGGAGAAGACAAGCGCACAGGGCTTCCCAGGCCGTTATCCAGCGAAATCCCTGTGATAATGGAAAAGAAATAAGAATAAAATCAGGTATCAGAATAGGCATATGGAATGTGAAAAGTCTCTACGAGCCCGGTAAGATACAAAACACCATACGTGAGATGATAAGGCTCAATATACTAGTTCTTGGGAAAAGCGAAATGCCATGGCCAGGGACTGGTAAATGTAGTATAGACCCTCACGATGTATTATATTTTGTACATAAAGAAGTCTCTTGTTGTATTAAATCTGTAAGTTACATTTCGGACAGAGTCATCGTGATGCAATTAAACTCAAAACCAGTAGATATAAATCTCGTCCAAGTTTATGCGCCTACAGCTAGCGGTAGTGAAGATGACATAGATAATTTTTATGATAATACAAAGAAGGTAATGAGTTAGTTAAAAAAAAGACATTACAATATTAATAGGGGACTTTAATGCCAAAGTAGGAAAATGTAGACAAGAAAACATTGTAGGGAATTTTGGACTTGGACAACGTTATGACAGGGGAGACCGTTTTGTAGAATTATGCTTAGAGAACAATATATGTATGAAAAATACAATATTCAAACTACCCAAGCGTCGCTTATATACTTGGAAGTCACCCGAAGATATTAAAGAGAAGGTCATAAGAAATCAGATCGATTATATAACAATTACCGAAAGGTTATTAATCAGTGACATAAAACTCAAACTTAAAAAACTAAAACGCCAACAACCGACTAACCGAACAAACGCTGACAATATGCAAATAAAAATGTAGAAAATATGCACATAAATATGCACGTGTTTACCCGAAAATATGCAAATATTTTACAAAATATGCATACAAATAAATAATTTTTTTTTACTTAATTAGATGGCTTTGGTAAAGACCAATTAGCCAGACGATTTTTTTTTAACTATAATAATTTAAAAAAGAAAACTTTAAAAGAATGCTCATCCTTCTTCACAATAACAATGCTTAAAGTATTAGTAGTGCTTAAAGTTAAGTGTGAGCAGTGTAATTTGTGATTGTTTTTTCTATGTAGAATTTAGTTTTTTTTTTATATATATATTTTTATTTTCAATTTTTTTTTTCTTTGTTTTTGTTTTTGTTTGTTTTTTTTTATATGCACTATTTTTTTTTTAATTTTTTCGTCGCCCACTTACAAAATCTAACTAGTTGCAGGATTGCTAACAAAGAGGTGGTTAGTAATTTACAATTTCATTTTGAACCGTTTGGTGTGATTATATAAGCAGTACAATATATTAATATTCTTATTGAAAATTATACAATTTAAATTTATAGGTAAGCAAATATTGTTATTAATAACTTCATTATAAAATTTATCTGTGCTTTGACTATTTAATGAACAACCAAGTAGAATATGTGTTAAGTCTCCAAGTTCCCCACATAAACATGAGGAATCATCAATTATACCAATTTTACATTTATAGCTTGGTGACATTGCATGATTTGCTCTTATTCTGTTTAAAGTAATAATAAAGTTCCTGTTGTTTTCGTTGTAGAACCATCTTATTATTGGGATATGGACTTGACATGATTTATAATTTAATCCTATTTGTTTGCTGTCATATAGTTCTTGCCATTTAGCCTTAAGTTGAACTTTAAGTGTGGAATTCAAATCTGTATATGGAATACACTGGTTAATAGAGTCTCTGTGTAAGTCTGAGGCGGATTTTGCAAACTTATCAGCAATTTCGTTTCCTTGAATACCCGAATGCCCTTTGATCCAAACTATTAGCACCTCCCGTTGCGAGCTAAGTATTTCGTGATTGGTCTGTAGTATTTCTACTTCTAGATGACTTAAGTTCTTGGCCGTACTTATATTTTTTAGTCTCTCTATGACACTTTTGCAGTCTGTAATATATTACTTTTGAGTCTATACGTCCTAAGTATATATTTTAGAGCTCCCCTTATTGCAAACATTTCTGCTGTATCTGAATCATCATCTGGTAATCTGAACTCTTCATGATATTTTGAGGTGTGATCGTAAAAAGTGGCACCTGTACGAATTTGTTTTAATCCATCGGTGTAAATCTGATAATAGTCAGGCCACCGTTGATTAACCGTTTCGAGGAAGTGGGCGTTTTTGTCAATCTGAAACGTCTTAATTTTTTTAGAGAAAAGGACATGCGGATGTTCTGAAAATATTGGTTGGATTTTTGATGTGTACAGTACCGACCTGAATTGGGAAAGAGTGGTATAACTTTCACAAATTAGCGGAGTTTTCTTTTTTAGCCAATAAGACTGTGTGAGTACTGAAATTGACAGTTCATGGATAGGAAATATATAACTTGCGGATTTAGCAAATGCTTTTGTGATAAACTTGTTACTAATTAGTTGCCTTCTTAGTTGTAACGGTGGTTCTACAGCTTCTGCTTCCATAATATTTATTGGGGTTGACTTGAGATATCCAAGACATATTCTTAGACTTTTGTTTTTTTGGGTTTCTATTTTGTCTAAATGAATTTGTGCCGCTAATCCATACAAGTGACTACCATAATCCAGGATTGATCTTATCATGGTTCTATAAAATAACAAGGCGATATTTGGGTCAGCCGACCTTTTTGTATAACAAAAGGCTCTTAGTATGTTAATAGCATTTTCAGACTTTTTTGTTATTTGATGGATACAATCTTTCCAAAACAGTTTCCGGTCAAGATATAATCCTAAGTATCTCACAACATTTTTTATTTGAGAATTATAAGGTCCCAGTTTTACATGATCCTGTTCAATGTTTCGTCTTCGGCTAAATAGATACACCTCTGTTTTGTGTTCAGAAAGTGTAAAATAATTTTTATCCAGCCACTCGTTGAAGATGTCATAAGTTTTATTAAATTCATATTCACAAGTTTCAAAGTTTTTTCTTGTACAATAAAAAACAATATCATCTACAAATTGTATTGTTCTTATGTTATGAAGTTTAACACTGACATCCATTGTATATAATAAAAACAAAACTGGACTTAAAATACTGCCTTGGGGGAGTGCTAGGTTCGTAGTTTTAGGTCTAGTGGTTACTTGATTTATTTTTATATGTATTTTCCTGTTTGTGTACAGCGAAGTTATAAAGTTCGCTAATTGCGTATTAAATCCAATCGAAATCAATTTATTGGTTAAAACATCTAGGTTAATGTTATCAAATGCACCTGTAATATCGTTGAAACCTGCCATAGTCATGAGGTTACTAGTAAATCCAGCTAGAATATCTGTTACAATTACTGTTAATGCTTCCAATGTTGACCTAGATTTTCTGAAGCCATATTGTATATCAGGTAGAATATATTCTTTCTCTAGCCATTGCTCAAGACGATTTTTGATAAGTCTCTCGAAGTTTTCAACACACATGAAGCTAATGATATGGGCCTATAAGAGGTTGGAATGCAATCCGGTTTGTCGTGTTTTTTTATGGGGATGATAATATACTCCTTCCAACCTTCAGGGATCGATATTTGTCCTGTCCATATTGCATTGAATATACTTAAGAGAGATTTTTTCTGATTTATTGGTAAGTTATAAAGCATGGAATATGAAATATTATCTATACCAGGGGAGCTGTTGTTGGTATGTTTGATAGATCGTTCCAGTTCCCACATCAAAAATCTTTCGCTAAGATAGGTCGTATTCCTTGGTACTGAAGAAATTTGGAGATCTCGTTCATCCCGGTTGGTTGGTACCCATGGCGGTGAAATTTTAATATGAAATTCTTCTATCTATAAGTTTGAATTTGGGTCTATTGGTAATCTGTTTTGGACTTTTCGATTTTTATAATTGTTTACCTTTTTCCAAATTTGTGAAATTGGGATATGGCTGTTTAAGCTTGTACAGTATTCAACCCACTTTTCCATGTGGGTCCTCTCTAGTTGTCCATGTGAAAAATTGTACAATATCTTGAGAGCACAGAGTTAAGTCAATTGCGCTTTTACTACTTAAGGGAACTAATGTTGGATATCCGCTGTTTAGAAGAATAAGATTACAATGGTTTATTGCATCAGATAAAATATTCCCATATGTGTCATTAAAATCGCAACCCCAAGAAACATGATGGGCATTAAAATCACCTGCTATTAGAAAAGGTTTTGGTACATTAGCAAAAAATTCATTCCACTCTTGCAGTGTTCTTTTCTTTCTTTTTAAATGGTTTTTCTATCAGGTAATAGATTAATAGCAATACATTTATGAGAAAAATTTACTTTAGTATTTATTATTATTTCTTTATAGTAAATGTTTGCTTTAATTAATATGGCCACCCCTCCATAACCGTCTGGACGGTCTTTACGACTAATATTATAATTTTTAAAATTATAATACTTTCCCTCTTTGAACCAAGTTTCAGATAACATCGCAAGAGCTGCATCATTCTCATGAAGAAGGAATTCCAAGTTTTCTTTATTTGAAACTGCTGATCGGCAGTTCCATTGAATGAAATTTATTTTTTGTGTTAAATCTGCGAATTTGATATATTTTCTGATAGATCTATATTTAATTGTTTACTAATTATACACTCTAGTTCCGTTTTGGTAATAATAAAATTACTAGTTCTCTTAATTGTATAGATAATGTTTGCCACTAATTCTGAAATTATTTTAAGATTCTCTGAAGTTAACCCTGAATTATGAGTTGAAAAATCTGAACTGTCTACATTTTTAACATAACTAGGGTTGGTTAGAATACTATAATTTGGACCTATAGTCCTAGGTTGAGAAATGATTTCTCGATGTGTTATTTCTATTGGGTCTGGACTATTTGGCCTCAGCCTTTTAACTGGCTTATGAAACTCAATTGTTAATTTTTTGTTAAAGACTCTATTGTGAGTTTGTGAATGGTGTGAAGATGACTCTCCGAAGAAATTGAAGTTTGGAGGAGGTTGAGTCGAACATGAGGGTCGAAGCTCCATACGGGTTGGTTGTCGAATGGAAATCATTTGAAAGGCAATGCTTTCGTTTGGGTTATTTTTAGCAGTAGTTGAACGATTGGCAGTAATAGAAGCGTAAGAGTTTCTGGGAATTAATTTGTTAGCATCATGATAATTTACATTGGCTGATGACATAGTTTCTTTGATTAATTTTTGTCGGTGAAATTCCGGACAATCTTTCAAATCAATAGTAAAATGCTCTCCCATGCAACTAAAACATTTTTTTGTTTTTTCTACTTCCGTAAACTCTTTCGAGTTGTGATCTTTGTTACATTTATAGCATCTAGGTCGAGATCTACATTGATTTCCTAGATGCCCGTAACGCAAACAATTAAAACAAAGTAGAACTTTTTGTTTGTATAACTTTACCTCTTTTATGACTTTATTAATAACAACATATTTAGGTAATGTTTGTGATTTAAAACTAACAATGCATGATTTTGTTGGAACAAATTCTGGCGATTCTCCTGTTGTATTCTTACGATTAATTCTTTTAACGTTTAAAACTTCGAACGGTAAATGGGGTTCGTAAGATTTAATTTTATTTTTAAGGTAATCTTCAAAAAATTCCGTCGAAATATCTCGTATTACGCCTTGTTTGACAACAATAAATTTGGGAACATAAATATCTAAATTATTATCAATAAATACTTTAGCGTTTTTGTTACTGATAAGGTAATTAGCGTTTTTTTGAATCCTTCATTTTAATTCGAATTCTATTGCGACCTATTGTATCGATACTTAAAATATTATTGTCCAATTCAGGAAAATTTGTTAAAATTATATCCCCGACCTTTAAAGGATTTAGACTACTTGAAAAATTTATTTGTTTCTTTTCCACATAAATATGGAAAGGGCCCTGATCGTTTGGGCCATAATTAAAAACCTGTTTCTGCCTTTCGGGTTGAGATTGAGGTGAATTTCCGTCTTTCAAAGTATTAGACTGCTCGGTAATTAAATTTGGTTTACTTACATTTTGATTTTCGTGAGAATTTGATATACTTGAATCCGTGACTTGCATATTCGTGTCTTGCTGATCTGGGGAATCTAACAAAAGATCATCGGGAGGATCGGGGGGTAGCCCCCCGTCTTGCTCGCTCATTAATATTTTTTACACTATAACTATCACTATGTTTTTACAGAATTAGTCTAATGAGTTTTTAAATCGTTTTGTAAAAATTTTAAACACTCGAAATCACCGGCCGAAGTAAATACGTCTGGCTCGCTCGATTAACAATACAGAATTGACAAATAAATAAAAAAATCGTAAAATAGTAACAATTTTATTTAAAAAAAAAGTGTACATAACTAAATATTTCCTACTATTCATTAAGATTTACATTTATTTTAAGTAACTACATCATTTTTAAGTATAAATAAACTTATTTAGAATTATGGTAACAATAAATGACCAAGTGGTAATTTATTGTTACCAAAATATGTATTCAAAATTTTCTAACAAAAACTTGTGGCTTCTGTCTGAGTACATATATTTATATATGGAAAAACTTCGTTCAACATCAACTGATGTAACGGGAGCATTTTTCAAACTAACCAAAACATTTGGTTCTAAATTAATTGTTTCCGAAATATTTCCAGCTAGAACACTGACTACTTCAGAAAGAATATGGTAACCTTTATTTTTTTCCATAGTAGCTTCAAATTTTTTTAAAATATCTTTTCCACCTCTAACCTCTAACGTTCCGACAACATGACGCGAATTATTTTATTAATGCTGTACTTTCGAACAATGACAGTTTTGGTGATTCTGAGTAATTGTTTTTTGAACAAAACTAAAATTTGATTTTATAAATGAAAGTTCTTGTTGAAGCAAGTTACTCTGAAAAGTTTGTTTAGAATCCAAAAGAGATTGGGAACTTTCATCTGTTAACGTATCAATTACGTTCTTTATTTTAACAAAATGATCTGCATAAAAATTAGCTGCTTCTAACCATGTTCCCCATCGCGTTAAAATAGGTTGTGGTGGAAGAGGAATGTTAGGTAGCATTTCTTTATAAAGTTGAATTCTTATAGGAGATTTAAGAAATACTTTTTTGACACTGGATATCATGGTATTTACAAGAGGACACTTTTTTCGTATTTCCTCTGCAACTCTGTTTAATCCATGCGCTACACAAGTAACATGTATTAAATCTGGGAAAAATATTTTTAAATTTTGTCCTGCTTTCACCATATAAGGAGCAGCATCCGATAAAATAAGCAGTAATTTATTAGAAGGAATAGTTGTCGGAAGAAAAAAAGTTGCTAATGTTTCTTATGAGATAAGATAAAAAATAAGATGAGATTTTGGTAAGGTATCTTCTTTAAGAACACCAATCAATAAATGAGCAATATACTTTCCTGAGGAATCAGTGGTTTCTTCTACAGATATATAAAAATAATTATCTGCAATTTCTTTCTTAATATTAATTAACACCAACGAGTATAGCCCGTTCACATTATTTCTTCTTAGAGACCGATCACTTGGAACATTAAGTTTGCAATATTTTTTTAGAAACGAACTAAAATTTACATTTGCTAATTTTGAAAGCGGTATGTTTGCAGACACTAATGCGCGACACAAGTCTTCATTAAAAGTTTCTTGCTCATCTAATTTTTTTGAAGTAGATTGGAAACATTTAGCCATTGAAGTTTGATGTTTTCCTCCTATTTTTCCTTTTTTTTGCAATGTGTGAAGCAGTTCTCACATGTTGGTCTATCTGAAATTTCTTCTCACATGCTATCTATAAATAAAAATAAACACCTTTATTTTAACCCAACCTTTAAAATATAAAAATATACAAGGTGTTTTTGGTTAATCAAATAACTGGTTTGGAAAAAAAACACTCGATGTGTTTTAAATGCAGTATTAATCCACAAATTAGTTTTTGTTACTAACCATTAGTACATCATATAACTTATTTTAAAACTCAACAAAAGTTTTTTTTTGGTTAATTCAATTACAATGAAAATAATTGTGTTTTAGAATAGCTGACTTCATAAAAAAAAGTAAAGGTGAAAAATTTTTCTAAATACACACCATTGTATTGTACCATGGACAATTTTTTCTCACTAAAGGAAGCTATTTTTCATTTAAAAACAACCTACGAGTACTAAATTTCAAGTAAATACGTTTATTGGTTTTAAAGTTATTGTTGTTATTATTTAAAAGAATTTAATTTTTTTTAATTTTAACACCCTGTATCTCGAAAAGTAAATAAGTTTGACCCCTCATTAACTATATCGTTTTGTTAACTATATCGTTTTTCGAGAAGTATATACAGTCAAACGTTGTAAGTGTCATTTGGAAACACCCTGTATGTATGAAATATTAGATATTTAATAGAAAATATTAGATACTTACAATTTTGTTACAGACTGAACAGTAGATTTTTCCCATATCCATAGACAGCTCTTTATAAGGTTTAATCCAAGTTGAAGCACTGGTTATTTTAGGCATTATAAAATCACAATATTCCTTTTTGTTACGCACAACGAGTGTTTACGCTTTGAATATCAAAACAAAAATGATTTACAAATCTGAGCATCAAATTAGAAATGTTTAGATACCTAATTCAATAAACTGGGAGATTTTGGAAAATCCCTAAATTAGGAACAAAACTATTAGCCGTTTACCTGCTGCTGATACAATAAATTGTAGATAGATTTGGGGATTAGATCATAAAATGCAAATGAGCGAACCCTTAGCGATTATCCAATAACTGAATGCCTCAGTGACCGAGACTTTCTAAGAATGTTGAGGACTACTTAAATTGATCTTCTTTGAAATTGTAAATGTTTTATACCTGTAGAGATTACGTACTTAGATCATTTCTTGATTAAAATGACTACAAAATTTTATACAAGAATTGAAATAAATTGGTTTGTTTAAAAATTTTCAAATACAGTATAAAAATCTGAACTTTTATGCACTTTATGCAAACTTTTATACAAATATGCCAAAATATGAAATATTTGCATAAAATATGCACAATATGCAAAATATGCAATATGCATATTTGCCGAAGTCTAGTCATGAAATTACACTAAGAAAGAAGAAGACTACTACTACTACACTAAGATAGAAAAGAAGTTCGAAAAATCGGAAGAAACACCTAACGTCGAAGACCACTGGAATCATGTCAAGTCCATTATGTAAGAAACAACTAAAAAGTATAAAACTATTAACAAGCGCAAACAATAATGGATGACTGATGAAATATTGGGACTAATGGAAAGCAGACGAAAACAGAAAAATATAAACACGGAAGAATACAATAGAATCCATAAAGAAATCAGAAGAAAAATCCGGGATGCAAAAGAAACATGGTACAGCAACAAATGTCTTGAAATAAAAGAACTGCAGAAAAAGAATGACTCGTTTAATATGTACAAAAAGGTGAAATAAAATAACTGGAACATATAGATCAACTGCAAATGCAGATCAAAGAAACAACTGGAACATATAGATAGTTTACTTGATAAACAACGAAATATTATAGTCAATGAGCAAGACAGATTAAAGAGGTGGAAAGAATATATTGAGGGGCTGTTTGATGATGATAGAACAGAAAAAAATTCAAATCAAAAATATTTCGACTGGTCCAAACATAACACTCGGTGAAATGGAAAGAGCTCTAAAGCTATCAAAGAATAGGAAAACAACCGGTCCAGATGAAATTCCAAGCGAAATAATCAAACTATTCGACGATAAGGGTAAATATTCTCTTCTAAGTTTCTTCAATAAAATATACGAAACAGGACATATATACCAACAGACTGGCTACTGTCAACATTTGTAATGATACCGAAAAAAATAAATGCAAAGCAGTGTAGCAATTATCGCACTATCAATCTGATGAGTCATGTACAGAAAATTTTCCTAATGATACTGCGCTCGAGAATTTACAATAAAATAGAAGTACAACTAAGGGAAACACAATTTGGTTTCAGAAACAACCTTGGAACCAGAGAAGCACTCTTAAGTTTGCATGTCATGGTTCAAAGATGTAGGGATATCAAACAATCGGTATATATGTGTTTTATTGACTTCGAAAAGGCCTTCGACTGAGTAAACCATGACAAACTTATAGGTGTCTTGCAAAACGGAGTTACAACCAAAGAACATAAGAGCGTATGAAATAGAGTTAGAAAGAGTTCACAATATTAACTATTTGGGCGCAAACGTTAGCAACAACTGGAATATAAATAAAGAAATTAGAATAAGTATTGAAAAGCCAGAGTCGCTTTCTATAAATTAAGGAAAATTCTAATTAAAAGAGACATTACGTTAAACCTTAAAATCAGATTAATACGCTGCTACATATTCTCCACATTGATTATGGTATGGAGAGTGTTCTCGGACGCGACTAGTTCACGTTCGAGACGCATCGCCGCGCCCCTTATTTTTCCGGTTGGCCCCTCCCTGACCTGGAAATCCCTAATCGTTACTTTAGAAAGTATAAAAATAGGCGATTTTCAGGTCAATCAAGTCAGTCCTTCACGGGCTCTCCGAGAGCTTAGTGCTCTCGGGGCTCTGCTTTTTCTTTTAGCCTACCCTATACTCTGTGGCTGAGTATTATTTCTACTGTATTTTGGTGTTTTATTTCGACCTATATATATTTGGTCATGTAAGAAATAACTTGCCTTTTTCAAGGCAAGACAACAAACCTGATGTTTATTTCGACAACTATCATGTAAGATATTTGTCATGTAAGAAATCTCTCGTCTTTATTAAGACGACCCATCAGGAGACAAAACATTTTGAAGTCCATACCCTGAAAATGGACAAAAGTAGAGGAGCTCACGATGTTTCCGAAGCTCCTCTACAGAGCACACGGTGGTACGGAAGGTGCCTACCTTTCCATTTACCCCGAGGTGACAAGAGCTGGACCCTTACAGAGACATTATTAAAAAAATTGGAGGTCTTTGAGATATGGATTTATCAACGAGTACTGCTGATAAGTTGGGTTGATCGAATAAGAAATGAAATAGTTTTACATCGAATGAAAAAGAGCACAGAAATAACAAAAAGGATAAAAATTCGAAAGTTACAATATTTCGGTCATGTAATGAGACATCTAGAGAGGTATAACCTTCTAC